TTGTTAATGGATGAGAATAACTGATTAAAACTTTTGTTTTGCAGCTCTGTCACTGAGGACACACCTGCAGGGTGAGCAGCACTGATGAGTTACAGGATGCACGCTGTCCACATCCACGAAAAACTACAAATAAGACATATTTAACTAAAACGAAAGAGTGCTGCCGTCTCAGACCAGCTAAAGAAATGTGTCATCACGTCACAAGACCCTAACAGTTCCAACAAGACCCCAAAGCTAAGCTTAGCCGGTAAGTCCACAAGGAGACCTGAGGCAGTCATGCCTTACACAGCTGATGGATAAAAGACCAGGACTCCCTGTGGGACGCTGGCCTCGATCATGAGGGGGCAAAAAGTCCCAGAACCAAAATCAGAACCTGAATGATGATGTCATACCCCACCGGCTGTAAGATGAGCTACAGAACCTCATCCAGGACTCCCCACCTCCACCCTCGGGCTGAGGAGAAACCTGCTGTTGGTACTTGCCTGGTTTCAACAGCATCACGGTTGCTAACAGGCTCAGGTGTATTACGGTGCTACTCACCTGGTTTGAAGTTCTGAAGACATTCTGGCTATGAGCTAATGTTTTAGAGTGGATGGGGCAACAGGTTGTTTTCAGTCTGTTATGAAAGCTACACTGTGGTTATGTCACACCGTGATGGTGACGTGCGGCAGAGATTAACCTGCACAGCGCTTTCAGGTGCATCTGCTCGTCATTGCCATTAAACGAGTGACGTTTTCATCAAACGCTGTTATATTTCATCCTGCGGGGTTTTATAGCCAGCACTCAACTTTAACTTGACAGCTTTGCTGGGAGGAATGTGGCGCGCTGCAGGGTGTTTTCCCAGCGCTGTGCTTGTGTATAAGTGTTTGATTCACCTGCCAGTAGGGGGCAGAATGAGCAGTCTGTGCTACATTAGCACCAGTTTTGCAGAAGCAGCGTGGGGCAGTGGGGAAATCACTGCACCTGCAGCGTGCTCGGTTCGTCTGTTTCATCTGAAGTGTTTCTGCGACACTGCTGAGGTCTGAGGGGTGGAGCGCACTCAGCTGGAAGCTTTCTTCCTGCTGCTCACCTAAAAACAAAGGAAACGGAGGCTTTGGGCCGACTTTCTGATTCTCAGTGGACCTTTTTCCTTCTGAGCCGGAGGTGTGTGTGGCGGCCATGATAGGAGTCGGCGGATCCTCCAAATAACAAAACATTGGTGAGATGATAACACTGCTGTCGATGCTACGAGGGTCGCCACAGCTTTAACCTCAGACTCTGAGCAGTTTGGAAGCAGCTGAAGCTTCCTTTATTACCTCCTTTAGTAAAGGATGCATCAGAGCTTCCTTTATGAAACGAAAGGAGATGATGCCGTCCCACAATTCACAGCAACGACCCATCAGACCTTACAGTAAACAAACAGGTCATCATGTGACTTACTGCTGAGTTACCCACCAAATGACTGCCATCTTTGATCGACCACAGGTGAGCTCTCACCGTGTTACTGTGTGCATGTGCACACCGTCTGCACACAGCAACCAATGAGAGCACAGCAGGTATCTGAGAGGAGCTTTTTGTAGTCCATCCGCAGGACTTTGTAGTTTCACCAGCCTCATTATTATTATTAACAGTCTGTTTAAGGACAGCTGATTCTCCAAGTGCGGCAGTCCTGCTCTTCAAGTCCTTGTAAACAATCCTTCACATCTTTACTTCCCTTCCACTGAGGTCAAGGAAATGTAATTTGAGAAGACGCATGAGGTCCTTTTTTCACTGTTTAACCACAAAGACTCATCTGCTTTCTGCAAGAAGAACTAAAGCCGCTGAATGTTTGCACCGGTCCGTGGAAACTCAGGGAGGTTCTGTTGGTTCCTGCAAGCGTGAAGTTCTTCACATTTACATTCAGTCCAAACGGGTACAGGAGCCAGTCTGTGCACCACAGTGGATTTTAAACACAGCCCCATTTCAGGCGCACAGACTAACAACATTTCTAACTTTTATGATACTTTTATTGGGTGAAAGTGTTTAGCAGTCAACAGCAGGACGCCGCCACATGCCGCACTCGTTCAGCTGCTTCCTGTTTGTGGGTCTCTGCCTTCAGCTTTAGTATTTAAACGCAAACAAGTTCAACACTTAACCTGCTTAAATTCTCGTGGAATAACGAGGGAACAGGCCTCGCTCGCTGATCAAAGTGCTCCTTCATCAGCTGTCTATGTTTGGAGAAGCTAGACTGTATAAAACCTACACGGAACAAAATAACAAACACGTGTCCTGAGTGCAACATTAAGCTCCTGACCTCACCGCCACCAGGAGCCTTCACACATGTCACCGCCTGCATTGGTGCTCGTACTCATGAAACAGCCTCAGTGCATCAAGGGTGTTGATCTGGGACAGCCAAGTATCCCAGAATGCATTGCACACAAAACAGCAAGCAGCAGTGGCAACAGCAGCAAAGCTGGAGTAAACTTTCTGTTGTTGTGCCACAAAAGTCAGTTTTAATTTAGTTGTTTGGGCTTCATATCTGTGGGACTCATCACAGGTTTGAGTCGACTGATCAAAATATTGCCAAACTGAAAACTCCAGGGACGTTTTTTCGCCCTTTTCTTGGATGTCTCTGCATCTCTGGGTCTGACACAAATATTGCTGCATCTCGACCTGATCACACACCTGAAGGATTTAAGCTGCACACTTTGTCATTGTTTGTCTCTTGTAAGCATTGGAGAGACGATGACTCAGTAGTCCTGTTGTAGTTCTCTAAAGTGCATCGCCGGGGGCGTTGCATAGTTGGTCTCTGCAGATTGGTCAGGCAGGCGTGAAGACGTCCACACCAATCATCAGCTCACCATCTCATGAAGAAATTTACATCACTAGCAGATTCGCAGACACGGAAAAGGTCTTGACAAGCACACGCCCAAATGGTGGTCCTTCCATGAAGCTACACCATTAGTGTGCATAAGCTACCTTGTTGGGGACGCCTTCCCCGTGTTACGGCCTCATTGGTGGGACCCAGTCTCATTGCCCCATCTAGGAAAGGGGCTCATCAGTGAGAGCCTAGTTGTTGAGCCTTTGCCCTCGTGTGATTCCTCCATCACCACAGGCTTTCAGCACTGTTGAAGGTGGAGGATTATGGATCGGACCACCAGCTGGTCAAATTGCCTCTAGGCCAGCGGTCCCCAACCCCCGGGCCTCGGACCGGTACCGGTCCGTGAGTTGTTTGGTACCGGGCCGTGAGAGTTGAGACTCGGGTGTGAAATGTATGGTTTTCAGGGGTTTTAGCGGTTTTTAGTGTTATTTTGTTATCGTTTTTTTCGTTAACTCGGTTTTCCTGGGTCTTTTCACGTGTGTTATGAATAAATCTTTTTTCGGTACCAGTACTAGTTTTATTTTGTTGTATTTATCCGCGGCACCTTAAAGGCCGGTCCGTGAAAGTATTGTCGGGCACAAACCGGTCCGTGGCGCAAAAAAGGTTGGGGACCACTGCACTAGGCTCCAAAATATTTAATTTGGTCAAAGTGCCAGCGAAGTCCTGACACTGAGGATCCCTGAGTTCTCAGTCTGATACTGGGAATGCAAATGTGTGATTCTTCCTTGAAAAATATCAGCTGTGGAACAAATAAGCTGATGTTTTGATCCAGCTTCCTGTTAGGAGGCTCTTTCAAAGCTTCGCCTAACCTGAGATTGTGAAGTTCCTCTGGTGGGTGTACAAGGAGTCAAAGAGCAAGTCAGCTGACACTGACTGTAATGGACTAAGAAAGCCCTGGATTTTGAACCCAAAGCTGTAGTTCCTCTGACGTCCAGCAGAGACAGCAGTGAGTCCACCTCACAGACTATCCAGCAAAGAAAACGTGTTTCCAGCCTGATACACAAGCTGTTCTGCTTCATAACACTTTTAATAACGCACCTAGATTAAAGTTTGCATTATTAGGGGCGTGGCCTCTCTGACCAACAGGTGGATGGGGACACAGGCGGCTGCAACTGCTAGCTGGCTGCTAGAGTTCACCTAAGCTAACTCGAGTCCCTGCACTGGACCTCTGGACTGTTGCTGTCGGAGCCTTTTGGAGCATTTTCAATGGCATTATCTGACCAATAACGTGGCTGAGGATGTTGATTGGATGTTACTGATCAGCAGGTGAAGAGTTTCTCAGGGGCTCAGAACCCCTGTAACCTCCTAGCACAGATCCAGAACTTGTCCCAGTAAATCAGTCACGCTCTCCTGTCAGAAACATGACGTCTGCTTTCTGTGGTGATACTGGAGTGATAACAGGTGTGTTAGGAGGCTGTGGGTGTGCTGGTTTAGGCGAGAGCTGTTCAAGTCCTGTTTGGACTTTTGTATTTCAGTCTCTGGGTTTGGGCCGTTTCTTCCAGTTCAGGAGCAGTTTGTCATTTTCATTGTGACTGTCACAAAGATGCACAGAGAGCGCCGGCCTGTCTGAACATGGTCACACCCTGATGTGTACCTGTTATCGCCACAGTCTGGGATCAAATATTTTAACTAATAAAAACTAAAAACAGCCTCTTCTGATTTGGCCTCCTGACACATAGTTAAATGTTTTCCTGGCTTTTCTTTGTTTTAGTTTTGCAGCTCTGTGACTGCATTTCTCTGTCGTGCACTCGGAGTAACAGCGGCTGTAAAACATGAGCTCGCCTTTAAACCCTCCAGATGACGCGTGAATGAATCAGAGTGACACACGCTTACATACTTTTACTACAGTATCACTACAAGTACTGGCAGTGATATATTTCTCTGGTAATCTTGTTTCTTTCACAAAGATGGGTTTCCCCCCATGTTTCCTGTGTGTCTGACTGTCAAAATAAAAGACAGAAAAGCCCCAGGCAAACACAGCAAACCTGTCAGTGCCATCAAGACGTCACAGTCCTCGAGGTTCGGACACAACGTTATGTAACGTTACAGCAACACACACACACACACACACACACACACACACACACCTAACGGATCGATCTGTGTGACACACACACACATTTATCAGGGTGCATTACTGCACACACCCATTAAATCTTACCTTGTTCCTTTATCTCCCATCCCGACGATGTCGACAGCAGCCGGGCGGAGAGATGATGGAGGAGGATGGAGGGATGCCGTCACCGTGGAAACTGAGGGCAGGATATCTCTCTCTCTCTTTCTCTCTCGCTCTTTCTCACTCAGGAAGCCGTTGTCATGCCATCAGAGTGTCCTCAGCAGGAGGAAAAACCTCCATCTGAGCTGCGACTGAACGAAGGACTGACTGAATCCACCACTCTGCCCCTCCTCCTCTTTAACTCGCCTCCTTCCTTCCTCTCAGCGCCTGGCATGCTCTCCCCCTCTCTCTTCTGTCAGACTCATTAGCAGTAAAACATGTTAAAACAGGAGACACCCAGAGGACAGATTATATTTCTGTCTGACAGGAGCATCACACTGACAGCTGGACTCTGACCTCCACCCTCCTTACATCTGTCCTTCATAAAATAAATATTTATTTCCTCTAAATTTAGACACTTTCCAGGCTTGAATGTTTACAGCCCGAGGAAGGAAACGAAGAAAGTCGCTGTCGTTCTTTCTATGAACATTCACTGCCAGCTGCGCATCTCTGCGTTTAATCCAACCCTCAGTACTGACTTTTAAGCATGTTTACATCTCGTCATTAGTGACTTCTTACAACCAGTCGCCCCCTGCTGGACATTTAGTGCAGGAGTTTAGGCAGTGTCGTACTCGGGTTCAGTCACATCAGTGTGAAGCAGTTCAGGTTTCTCTCTCATCATGCTTTATAAATGTATGGGCTCGCACCACACGCCCCTGCGTGAGGCCCACTGTTTTTATTTATTCACATTAATGTGGCCATTAGTCTTTACGTACAGCACTGACACTTTATATTTGCGTCCTGCAGTTCCCCATCTCATCCTGCTGCTCTTAAATCGCGAGTGATGGAAGTTTTTAGTTTGTCCAGAAGGGGAAGGGCGTCTGTTTCAGGGGCCTCGGGATCTGGTCTGAGGATTTCATGGGTCCAGCTTTCCTTGGGGTGGTTCACAACTGAGCACATAAGAAAAGCTGTTGAATTAGCCATCGATTGACATCCTTAGCCTCACCTGTGACTGAAGCTATGGGTACTCAGACCTAGTTTCAAAGAGCAGAGGTAACCCCAAGGTAGTATTAGACACCGTTAGTGATATAGTTGCTCCTGCTCCACCTGCTGTCCCAATTTCATTGAATGAAGATTGTGAAAACTTTCTTTGTTGAAAAAGTCAGCATTGTTAGGAACAATATATCTCCTTCTGTGTCTCTTGTCTGCTCCAACCCCACCTAGTCCTGTTATAAGGTTTTTAACCTGTGTCCTTACCTAAACTGGTCAAATTAGTTAATTTGATTAAAAAGCGTCCTCCTGCTCTCCTGATATTTTACCTGGATCTTTGTTTACAAATGTCTTTCAGTCTATCGGTCCCTGTGTGCTGACAATTATCAATACTTCATTGGTTTCTGGTCAGGTCCCTGTTTATTGTAAGAATGCTGTCATTCACTCACTGGTTTTAATTTATTTGTTTATCAAGAGATTATACAGTGGGGCAAAAAAGTATTTAGTCAGCCACCGATTGTGCAAGTTCCCCCACCTAAAATGATGACAGAGGTCAGTAATTTGCACCA